CAACAGTAACAATCTAAATAATTGCTTCAATAAAAACCAGCAACTTGTAAATAAGAGAGTTAATTTGAATTGTTGTAAATAGAACATGATATAACAATTGAAGCTTGTGACAGCCATCACCTTAATTCTTTTAAAGGTACATTGTTGTACTTTGTAAATGATGAAAGAGCAAATCAATAAGGCTTTTTTCAAGGAAGAAAACCATTATATATATATATATATATACAGTATATATATATATATATATATATGTATGTATATGTATATATATATATATATATATATATGAGGGCTGTCAAAATTAACGGGTTAACGCGGATTAATCCATCATCATAATTAATCTGATTAAAATTTTTAACGCAATTAACCCATCTGCAGCGCAGAATGACTCAAAATCCCTGAAATGTCTCTTTCAACCCATTTCGGACAGTTTTGGTGCGTTCCATTTGCCCTGGGAACTCGTATTCCGAGTCGGATTCTGGAGTTTTGAAGCCGGAAGATACGACATGCGCGCTCCCGTTTCTCGGAGATCCGAGAAATATTTCGGAGCAGCACAGAGGATCCCAAGTTCAGAATCCGAGATGGCTGCGCCTTTTATCAACAGAAGGGAAAGTTGTAGTTTTATACTGTTTAAGCACTACTTCTCATTTGTGGCTCATTAAATCGGTTGCACACACTATACCATCCAACTTATCTGTGGCGTGTTGCTACGTCCAAGGATATTTATACGTTTTATACGTAAAGCACCGCGCGTAATGTGTTATCAACTGATATTGCTAACAATGGCAATTAACCGGGCTAGAATTGGATTTCATGACTAGTCGGATTATTTGTCGGATTTACAGTAGTTCATGCTAATTGAAAGTGAACGAAGATAAAGACCATTTAAACTGAAGTACCTTAAATACGACAAATTGTTCGGCTAAGCAAAAAATCTTGCTTTTTGATATGGGTCCATGGTATTGCACTTCTGTGGCAGATGTAATGCATCCGACTCGTGTTCAAGATGTTCAATAAACATGTTAAGTGCATTCCCTTTTTTCTTGAGTCTGTTTGCTCATGCAAAATGAAATGATATTTTTAATCGTGATTAATTCGAAATTAATCCACAGCAACCCTGTGATTAATCTGATCAAAAATTTAATCGTTTGACAGCACTAATATTTATATATGTATGTGCGTGTATGTATATATATATATATATATATATATATATATATATATATATAAAAGCACACACATAGACACATACACCCAGACTCACACCACAACCCAGAAGTTAGGGCCAAACTCGGATTTAAAAGAAAAACAAAATGACTCAATGCTTTATCAAACTTTTCTTACAACAATTTCTTTTTATATAGTGCCTTTCACGACAGTCTCCCCCCAAGGTGCTTTACACCGGTGTGTTGTGATGCATTACATCTTTAGGGAGAGTCATGCAGAAAGGAAAGCCAAGAAAGCCACATTACTGAAAACAGAAAAGAGTGGACTTGCTTGCTAAATGCAAGGTATAAGCTGTGATTCAAGATAAAGACAAAGTCCATCGATGACGCTGTTATCCACATTGGCCTGTGTAGGGTGGCCAAAGTCCATCAATCAGTCTGCCTCTATTTTAGAAATTGTTAAACCAAATGTAACTAACTGGTTTTCAGTATTTTACAGCGTGTAGTAATATATTATTTAGTCACAAAGCCTGAAATTATTGGTTTCAAAGAAGACGTATCAGCTCTGTCTTTAGTGCATTGACATTCACTTTGTGTTGGAATTCCATTTATTGATATCTGAATCTGATTTGCACTTGCCCTCTCTTGATTGTGTCTCAATAAACTAAATGACAGCCTCTTGTCTGCCTTGTCCCAGATCAGTTTGTGGGAGGTTTAATGCACTGTCTGCTCTTCGATTCAATCATCTGTTGGATCTTCTTTTGTATCACAACTGAGTAATTGATAAATGTTTGCTCTTTTTCTGCTTGTTATGGCTAGAAAGCCACAGCCAACAATTTAACAGAGGGCTGAAATCGAAATTTTGAGAATAGAAGGGGTCTCTGATCTCCAAATACCCAGAAAGTTAAATGTCTCTAAGCATGGAGTAACCTACTGTTTACCGAGGAAAAAGGCTGACAGGAAGCAACAGTGACCAGAAACAGTTTGGGGCAAGGAAAGGGACATCAAAGGCTGAAGATCAACAGTTAGGTGTGACATTCAAAAGAAATTGGAAGATGATTGTAATGGTCTGAGGGCTGCGATTAATGTGAACAGAGGGAAACCGGTATCTCAAGCCAAGCAAAGACTGAGAGCAGCTGGACTACATGGTTGAGTTGCTGCCAGAAATCCTTTACTTCATGGTGTTAGGAAAACTAGACTGCTATAGGCTAAACAGCACAAACACTGGAGTATTCAGGCCTGGGAGCAGGTATTGTGGATGGACGAATGTCCATCCATGACACGAGTTGGACCACCAAGTTTAAAATGAGCGTCTAGCAAATGAGACAGAACTGTTTGTATGCTTGAAAGGGTCCTGGGGTGCAAAAATTTCTGGAAAGGATGCTGCGAATCCGTGCTGCTTTGTTAAAGGCAAAGGGTGATTATTCTGATGAAATTCATACTTATAGGCACTCGCATTCATTAAATCGCAAGTACAATGCTCAGTAAAATGTTACAGTACACTTCAAAACCCAGTTACATTTGTTTTAAGTGACTGTGTTTATTCATTTTAATAACGAAAGTAATCAATTGTGTGGTCGCAGGATAACACGCAGAGCTGTTTCCACGCTGTGACAAAGACCAATTCCACAGCATTTGGAATAAGACGCACCCGATCCGTTCTACAAGGCTAGTGCTTCAGCATAAATGTATCGAACAGCAAGTCTCTGTCAGCCAGAAGGCAGGAACAAACGGCGAAGCTTTGTTAGCAGTCCCACAACTTCATAAAGTATATCTTCTTAACACCATGCTAGGGACAGTGAGCACAAACAGCTTAATACACCATGTTTTTATTGTTCTGTTTTCATTTACCTGCTTCTTCACATGACGAAAGTACAATTTTTCCTAATTTTATAGGCATGGCGTAAAATATGACACGGTAAATTACATAAAAAACACATTCATTAGCATAGCAAATGCTTTTCCCATCAAAACACATTTACAATTTTTTTAAACTGGATATTTCGACACAGGTCTGGTTAAGTGAATTTCATGAGTACAAAAGTAGGGTCCCCAGAAGTAGGACAGCCAAAATTGAGGTTACAAACTAATGTCCTTCGTCACTGATTTCCCTGTTTTTATTACACAAACCTGCACCCAGCTTACGAAAAACCCGAACCGGCCCGAGAACCCAATACGTAATTATTATACTTAAGGCCAATGAACAGAACTGCGCGTGCTTCTGCTCCCCGCATATCGCATTAAAGGATCATAATGCCATGATGCACGTCTTACATTGATTTTAGTTTTTACAACTAGTGCCATTCGTGTCAGTTTCCCGTGATGCTCTTTTTAGGAGTTTTGAGGAAATAAATTCTAATTACGTGGGTATGCTGTCCATGGTGCTGACTGTAGCCATTCGCTGCCACTTATATAATTAAAATGCGTGAGAAGGTTTTGCGTTTTAAAATTTTATATCAAACATCAGAAGGTCTTGAAATAGGTTTCCAATACATAGGCTGGCTTGGGTGAATTTACACTAGCTCAAGACTGTTCGGTAGTGTCACGCTGCACTAATTATATAAAAAAAATGAGGTGGCCGATGACGATGCTGAAGGAGCCCGTCGCCGGATAGGCGCTCGTCGGCACTGCTGCCATCCTACCCGCGGCAGCTGCATCATCGGCGCTGCGGCTGCAGCCCCTGCATACAGTCCGACGGCGGAGAGGAGGGGAAACAGCCCCCAAAACAATGGCGGAGGCGAACCCCCTGAGAGGCTTCCCCAAGATGCGCAGGACCGCGGTAAGGTCTTTCGGCACAGTTGGCTTCTGCACTAGGGACTTCGTGCAAGTTGACAGGGGCTGGGAAATACTGCATAGCGCCGGGCGGCGCGGCGCGGCGCGGCGCTGCGGCGTGAAGCTCCGCCGCGGCTCAGTCCCGCGATCGGGACATAAAACGGGGCCGGCTGCCGCTGACTCGCGATTCTCGTCTGTCAGTGCATTTCAGCATCTCCGTATGGGAATGAAATGTCACGGCGCAGGGTGAGAGCCTGCTGAAGGCGTGTGCTTTTTGGCAGGGCAAACCAATGTCAAACGTTGGTCACGGACAGCGGCGTTAATAAAACTAACTCTCCTAAGTCTTTACAAATTATTCTGCATCTTGCAGATACACAGCAAGGTAAAGGGACCCAATTAAATTCAGCATTTATTTCCTTAATTGTTTCATCTTATCTTGGAATTCAGTAGTATGCATGGGATTCCCATGCTGATTAGCACTGGATCACTAAAACTATCTGGGTCCGTTCTGCAATCTCCGTCACCCCGTCTGCGGTATTTCTCCAGCATTATTAGTCAGCTCAGTCAGCCTGACTATCGTTACAGCCAGAAAAGCTGTGTAGTCTGGGAGCTTAAAAGCTTGCGTCTGTCACTGAGATGGGGCTCTGCTTTCATACTGAGATGTTCGGATCAATTCGGCAGGGGCTTCTCAGACTAACTCCACCACACCCCTCTGCTGCACTGCAAGGTGGCTCAGACAGCAATGGGGGAGGGTCTAATGACAGGTCAGGACAGGCTGGCCTCCTGAAAGCAGGCCCATGGCCAGAAATGAATTTCGGGGGGCGTCCAGCAAATTTCGAGGAGAGATCATACTGGTTATTTTACTACCTGGCTAAATGCCAGGTTGGGACCAAATCAATTTTGTGGGGGCCGTTGTTTTGGTTTCAGCCCGACTCTGGAGCATGGTTGTGGAATGAGGTGCTCTTAGATGGGGTTTCGGATCGGAGCGTGACGGGTGGATTGTTTTGGATGTTCTGTGATCAGAGGAAATAAAGTCTGACCCAGATACCTTTGCTTATATCCTCCTGAGATCCCACCCATTCATTTATGTGAAATATTGTAGTGGACATTTTATTTTTGCGTCTGTCTTTTCACTGATGTTGGGAGACGTATTTATTCCTGTTGTGCACTAAAGAGGACATGCTGTGAAATGAAAAATAAAAATTAATTTGAAAAAATCTAAATTGTAAGATGTCTTATTTCCTCCAAAGACAAATAACCTGAAATTGAAGGACACTTTTTTCCTTGGGTCTCAGGAGGATATGGGCAGCATGTGACATGACTGTTCTGTGCGAATCATTGCTTGTGGTAGGTTGGAAAAAAGGGATATAATCTGTTTGGTTTGTGGCATAAATGGAGCTATAATTTTCAGTTTTGCTCAATGTCAAAGTTATAAGCTGTCCTATAATCAACCCCCCGTGAAAAACGATACTTTTCGTCAATTTTTTTTTCCGCAAGGCAGCACTGAAGTTCTGTGACATTTTCTCTAAGGCAGATAGGGGGGAGGGTTCTAAGCACAGCCTTTGGTGCCTCCTGATCCAAACAGGTCTCCTTTCCTGGGAACCTCCACCTGGTGCTGGTGCTGCAGCCCACCAGCAACCTGCAGCACAGCCCCACCGACATAGGATTCCGCTTCAGTCAGGAGGACTTCACGCTCAAGATGCCTGTGAGTGAAATGCATCCATAGCCATCTCTACGCTGGGCAGATCCATCCATCCAGGGAACCCTGATCCTGGAGTGCCGATATCCAGCAGGTTTTCCATCCTACCTGGTCTCTGATGAACCACACCTGACCTCAGGCAGATAGTAACTCATCAGGTAGGATAGAAAACCTGCTGGATACCAGCACTCCAGGATCAGGGCTGCCCACCTTTGTTCTAAGCTCTTATCCTAGTGGGGGTCATGGGGGGCCTGGAGCCTATCCCAGGCCGAACAGGGCACAAGAATGTGGTTCACCCTGCATGGGACTAGGGTTAGTACAGGAAGCCCCGAGTTAAGAACACCTGACTTACGGACGACTCGTACTTACGAACGGGCTGCCATAAATCCTGTTATATGAATAATTTGGATTAAATACGATGATTCGTAGTAATGAACGCATGCAGTACTTTGTGACGCTTGTGAAAACATTGCACAGCTTCAGCAGTTCTTGGGCTCGAAGTACAGTATCATATTTACTTTTATTTCTACTGTATAATAATAATAATAATAATAATAATAATAATAATAATAATAATAATAATAATTTATTACTCAGTACTGCATTTATTTTTCCAACTTACAGTGGATATAAAAAATATATATATATAAAAACATACCCCTGTTAAAAAGTCAAGGTTTTTGTTTTCGTGGCGTAAGACATGAGACCATGATAAATCATTTCAAAACCTTTCCCACCTTTAATATCACCTATAACCTGTACAATTCAACTGAAATACAAATCTGTTAGGGGGGGAAATATATAAAAAATATTTAAAAATGAACAATGAGCTGTTTGTATAAGTGTGCACACCCTTAAACTAATACTTCATTGAAGTGCCTTTTGATTTAATGACAGTACTCAGTCTTTTTGGGGACACACCTGCCATCAATTAAAGTGACTCTGATTAACCCCAAATAAAGTTCAGCTGGCTTAGTAGGATTTTCCTGACTTTACTCAGCTGCATCCTACAGCAAAAGCCATGGTTCGCAGAGAGCTTACAAAGCATCAAAGGGATCTCATTGCTGACAGGTATCAGTCAGGAGAAATGTACAAAAACATTTGTACGACATTAGATACACCATGGAACACAGTGAAGACAGTCATCAAGAAGTGGAGAAAATATGGGACAACAGTGATGTTACCGAGGACTAGACATCCCTCCAAAACTGATGAAAAGACAAGATAGAAGCTGGTCAGGGAGGCAGCCGAGAGACGTATAGCAACACTGAAGGAGCTGCAGGAATCCTGGCAAGTTCAGGTTATGTACTACATGTGACAACAATCTCCCGTGTTCTCCATAAGTCTGGACTATGGGGTTGGGTCGGAAGACGGAACCCTTTTCTTACAAAGAAAAACATCCAGGCTTGGCTAAATTTATCCAAAAAATACTTCAAGTCTCCCAAAAGCATGTGGGAAAATGTGTTATGGTCTGATGGAACCAAGATGGCCGCAATGCCAAAAGGTATGATTGGCACATAAACAACACTGCGCATCACCAAAAGACCACCACACCCACGCTGAAGCACGGCGGGGGCAGCGTCATGCTCTGGGGTTTTTCTTCAGCTGAAACTGGGGCTTTAGTCAAGGTGGAGGGAATTATGAACAGTTCCCGTCAATTTTGGCCCAAAACCTTCTGGTGTCTGCTAGAAAGCTGAAGATGAAGAGGAATTTTGCCTTTCAGCACGACAATGACCCCAAGCAAACATCCAAATTAGCAAAGGATTGGCTTCACCAGGAGAATATTAAAGCTTTGGAACGGCCCAGTCAGAAGCCAGACCTACATCCAACTGAATATCTGCGGGGAGACCTGAAGGGGGCTGTTCACAGGAGATGCCCTCCAATCTGACAGGTCTGGAGCGCTTTTGCAGGGAACAGTGGGCAAATATTACCAAGTCAATTTGTGACAAGCTGATAGACTCCTACCCCAAAAGACTGAATGCTGTAATTAAATCAAAAGGTGCCTCAACAAAGTACCATTTTGACCAGATCATAAGACTTTCTTTTTTCCCTGAAAATGCATCTACTGTAGCGATGTGTTGTTTTTTTATATTTGGGGTCTAGACAAAAAAAGGGAATAGATGCCACCAAATATAATATTTGTGACGAGTGATTGACTTATACCGTAATATAGCTTTGCCGTAAGATTTCTTGTGTGAGTGTCAGACTCAAAAAGCGTGTGTCACGCCAGATGCACGAGAGCTGGCAAACCTGGCAACGCGTGTGCTTAGCGTGGCAACGCGTGTGCTTAGCGTGTATCCCTGAGTGTCACAGACACAGTTGGCTTCCCTGGGATGTGCTGCTGCTAATGTTAAACCGGTAGTGTCTGTTAATAAAGACAGTAACATTCATTTTGAAAGAGCTGTCATCATTTATTAATTTGGCTCAACCTTTCTCTGCAATACGTTTTTTATTCTCTTCATGTGCGTCTGCTGTATTAAAAACGTTCAGCACCCTCAAGGGCTGTAGAGTTTGTAATATTCATTATCTACTGCCCCCCCCCCCCCCCCAAAAAAAAACCCAATACATTTATTTGTAATGTTTGCCGTTTAATACACTTATTGTAATCCCATTGCCAGCGGCTGCTTTTTAAACTGTGGTTGTTGGTTAACTTATTAAATGTTCTTGTCAAATCAAATATATATATTTTTTTATAAAGGTAAGATTTGGTTTTCCAAAGCCATATTTTTTTCTAAAAATAGTTTCCAAAAAGTGGGGGGTCGTGTTATATTCGGGCCATTATGGTATTAGTTTACGGGTGTGCACACTTATGCAACCAGGTTATTGTATGTTTCCCCCCCCCCTAACAGATTTGTTTGTTTTTCAGTTGAATTGTACAGGTTATACTGTACGTCACATTAAAGGCGGGAATGGTTTTGAAATGATTTATGTGGTCTTATTTTTTTACATCACAAAACCTGGCCTTTTAACAGGGGGTGCGTACACCTTTTATATCCACTGTACCTACAGATTTGACGTCAATTCGGAACAGATCTTTTTCGTAACCTGGGGGCTGCCTGTAGTTATATAAATTGAGCTACATATTGCAAGCACAGGAATGGACTGAGAACCTTTCTCAGTATAAGTCCCATGAGGTTAATTCTCGGTAGAAATCGGGATGTGCGGTAGTTCATAAAATGTCCTTAACGTACAAGTTTGTTTGTCTGCTGCCTGGGAAAAGCTGTGCAAGAACAAATGTTCAACGTATTCACATGTTCTACCAGGCTGCTGTAAGACTGAAATGTTGTTCACGCTACTTGAGATTATTACTTGGGATTAGTACTTTCATGTTACTCTGGATTACTACCTGTGGCAGTACTTTCGTGCTATTTGGGATTACTGCATGGGATTAGTACTTTCACGCTACTTGGGATTACTGCCTGGGTCTAGTATGTTTGGGTTTCTTTCATTTGAATATACGAGGTATTACGTTTTTTGGCCTGATTATGTAGCACTGTGTAATGAGGGTATCTGTCTGATAAACGTGTATGAGTTTTTAACCTGCGTATTTGTGATACTCGTCGCCCTCAGGTGGTGATGCTGAGCTCCGTCACCGACCTGCTGCGCTACATCGAGGATAACCAGCTGAGCTCAGAGTTCAGTGGCGTGCTGGAGTACTGCAACAGCGACTGGATCGTTCTGCGCACGGTAACGACACCGACAGTCCTGCCGAGGGTGACGCCAGACACGTCTAATACTGAGTCCTGTAATGGGGCACTGATGTACTCCATATCATACTCAGACTGTAATGGGGCACTGATGTACTCCA